AAAGATAGTTTATCTATGAAAGAACAAAAAGCATGCAAAAGATGTAAACAGGCTGTATGTGCATAAGGGTGTATAGGTGTAATGTGTAAGTCTGTGCTGTTTATGTCATTCAGTAGAGTCTTGTATTGTTAGTAACCAGCGTAAAAGATTTGTCTCTGAACTAAACCAAGCCAGCCCAGCCATACACCAGAAAACCATGATGGATTAAACACCTATGCATGGATTTATAACTGACTTATGACTAAAAAGCTAGCCCAGGCATCTTCCACAGACAAAAATCCTCTTTCGCGGTGACAGTAATTGCGATTAGGAAAATAGTTGTGCTCGATGACCGTAACACTAACCTTTACGAGCTAGGCCCAATATTATTTTAAAAATTTGGCATATAAAATTCGCCGAATGGTCACACATGAGTCACAACATTTCTAAGTTTATTAAATCTTGTTTCTTATATTAGATGTTAGGATCTAGAGACTTTTGGTCTTCAACAGTGTCATTAACTAAACTTTTGAGACTTTTGGTCTTCAACAGTGTCATTAACTAAACTTTTGAGACTTTTGGTCTTCAACAGTGTCATTAACTAAACTTTTGAGACTTTTGGTCTTCAACAGTGTCATTAACTAAACTTTTGAGACTTTTGGTCTTCAACAGTGTCATTAACTAAACTTTTGAGACTTTTGGTCTTCAACAGTGTCATTAATTAAATTTTTGAGACTTTTGGTCTTCAACAGTGTCATTAACTAAACTTTGGAGACTTTTGGTCTTCAACAGTGTCATTAACTAAACTTTGGAGACTTTTGGTCTTCAACAGTGTCATTAACTAAAGTCTAACATTTAATCTCTAATTCATGGGTCTGACTTTTTTTGGCAAAGTTTTTTGCAAAAAAAATCTTACTCTAATTCAACTCTTGAATCTAATGGCCACACTTATACTGCCAGTTAAACAGATTAACCTATTGTTAAACATTAAAATCACTATGGCTTCTAATGCTAAAGTTAATTCTCAATTGAACATTTCTACAGTTTGTGCTCCAGACAAGATTTCCATCATAGTCTATAAAAAGTGTTCTCTGGAATTCTCTTCAATTTTTGCTAAACTTTTAAAAAGTGTTATTAGTTAATTTATATTAAGTTTTTGAGATTAATAATTTATTTATTTCTAACTGCGGAATTAAAGTTATTCTTGAAGGCCTACATTCCACTTTATTTCAAGTAACTTTAGGGGTACCACAAAGTTCTCCTGTAATGTTTCTCATCTAAAATAACAACCTTCATAAAAATTTTACATCTAAAGTACCTCTATTAGCTAAGGACTCATTTTTATACTTTTGTCTTGACAAAAAATTGTCACTTTTTGATTGCTAAGAACAAGCTCCTGTTTTTAATCTGATCTCTTTTCTGTAACAGCCTCGTGCAATGGCTTGTGGATTTAAATTTTTTAAGGCAACAAATAAAAACCCTCTTACTCTCAGACAAAGTCTAAAAGTACATTGTAAATGTAGTTAGACCTGCTTTATCTGCCAAGCTTGAACCACTCTCCTACTGTTGTAAAGTTGCATTTCTTTCTTTTTCTACAATTATTATCACGGTCATTGTTTAAACAAGCTATCCTCACTATTACGATAAACCAATCCTTTCATTACGATAAAACATCCTTTTACTGTATCTGTCTCTTCATGCTATAAAAAATTTATTAATTCAGTTGTTTGTCCTTGCACATCAAAAAAGCCTTTTAACTCTTCCCCAATTTTGTGCTTTCATTTTTAATACATCCTGCAACTTTTAAAGTCTCTAATTAACCATTTTCTAGTATTTTAACCTGTCCTCTATTTTAAAGTAGCTCATAACTTAATAGTGGTAGCTTGTTAAAAGTATATTAGAGTTTTAAAATATATAAATATATGCCAGTATGTAATAAATAGTAAATGTAAATATAAAATTATAAAACAAAAAGTATTATAATTTTTTTTCTATCCCCGGCTATCAACCCCTGCTAAATCTAATAATTTTGATAGGGCTGGAGATGGGGCCCCGATCACTTACTAAGTAAAATAGAACAGGCTGTTATTTTTTACCTTTGATTATTAAAGCTATGTTTTAAATTCATATAAACCAAGTTTTTTTTTTTGGTTATTGTTGTAAAGTTACTGTTATTTATACTTTGAGTGTTTAAAAATACAGCAATGTTTTATTTTTATAAACGATAAATTTTTTTAAAACACAATGACTTATTCTTTAAAAAATTGTTAGTATAAATGATTAATTAGGTAAAAGGTGCAGTAAATTTGTTTTTAAAAACTCAAGGCCTTGCTATTTGTTATTTTATGGTTGATATTATAAAGTTGACGCATTCAATTTTATATTATTTTAATATTGCTTCAAAATTCTGTCCAGCATTTGATCCATTACAACTTTTACTTTCAAAATACTCATAACTGCAATTATATATAATTTAAACTTATATATAAGATTTTAACTTATATATAATATAGATTATAACTTATATAATATAGATTAAATTATAACTTGAAAATAAATAGTTATAACTTGCTAAAACACAGTGATATTTTTAAGCACTAAAATTATTGTTAAAAGTTGTTTCCTCACTAATCTAAAGTTTTGTTTTAAAAGAGTCAAATTGGTAACATTAGATATACTAGTTATACTAGTTTACATTAGAACCCAGTTTTGTTACTGGAAACCCAATCCAAATTTTTCAATTAATTTTAATTAACTTTACTTTTAATATTTAATCATTTTCATCAATGGTAATAAATAATGATTTAATTTTTTCGGAAACTGCTTTTATAACAGAAGTTGTAACGTTTATATATAGAGTTGAACTCATGTAACTCAATTTGTCAAGGGGTCTCACAATATTTTCAAGTCAGGGGGTCTCACAATATTTTCAAATTACTAGAGCTTTTAAACAATAGGAATTTAACCCTAAATGTTTAACCATAAGGAACCCAAAGACTTTGTCAGATTCAAATGATTTTTAAAATTAGGAGTTTGAACTACAAGAGTTCAACTGTATTATACTGTTAAACAACACCAACAACAACCATTGCATTAACAGCAGCAACTGAAGTTTCACAACAGGTTACCAAACAGGTAGCTTGATAGACCAGAAGCAGTTAAAATACAAAACATATTTCGAAGTGAGGCATAGCATAGAAAAGTGTTCTAGTCTAGTAGTGTATGAATGTCAGGTGTAAAAAAATTGGTTTTCATTGATGGAATTAGGGATCAGCATTTAAACATTCTGACAAATTTTCCAGTTTTTATATATGATGAAAACTGGAAAATTTGTAGTTTTTTAATATTTTTTCCTTTAATTTTTACATGTTTTAATTTAAACATTTTTTCAGATTAATTGAATTGTACTTATGCAAATAGGTGAAAAATTTACAATTGTTATGTTTTGATAATTTATACTGCAATTTGTATTGTTAATTGTTATGTTTTGTTAATTTTATTAATGTAAATATTATTATAAATGTAAATATATTTATTGAAAAAAATATATTTTTTCAATAAATATATTTCTACAAGTAAATACATTTTTTTTTGCATTTTACTATTAAAAGTTTCTCTTGATTTAAAATCTTGTAAGAGTTCCTCTTGATTTAAAATCTTGTAGGAGTTCCTCTTGATTTAAAATCTTGTACGAGTTCCTCTTGATTTACAATCTTGTAAGAGTTCCTCTTAATTTAATCTTGTAAGAGTTCTGCTTGATTTAAAATCTTGATTAATAAAAATTATTTAAGTAAAGAGACCATATAAAGAATAAGTATAAATATATCTACTATAGCATATTTATGTAACAAATTAGTACCATATTTTTATTACTTTAATTAAATATGCATTTTCAGAAAAAGAAAAAAATGAAGAATAATGAAAGAAAAGATTGCTTCCGCATGCCAAACCCTCAGGCGATGTAGCAGCACACCGCTGCAAGTCAGACTATTTTTCAGTTGATGTATGTACTGAATCCCCTGGCAGCAGGCATCAGTATGGCATAAGACTGCTCACATAAGCAAGCAGTATAAGATATAGAACTACTTTTTTTTTCAACTTGTTTGATGTTGTTTATTTTCAATTGGTTTGAAGTTGTTTGATTCCAATTTGTTTTTTTTCAATTTGTTCAAAGTTTTTTTTGTCAATTTGTTTGAAGTTATTTTTTTTTTTCAATTTGTTTGAAGTTTATTCAAACAAATTGAAAAAAAAAAAGTTATTAAATTTGTTTATAGTTTAAAGAAATTTGAACTAAGTATGTCTTGAAACTCAGACATCTATATATTTTTACAATTTTAGTAAGGCAATAAAAATAAACTTAATTGATTGAAACAGATGAGTTTTGCTTTAAATATAACTGTTAAAAGTTTTAAACAGATTTTTTGAGTTTAATTCATGAATAATGTACATACAAAAAAAAATACATTACTCAAAAGTCTTTTATTTTTCTAAAAAAGATATAAATTTAAAATTCTGAAGTTAAAAACTAAAATGCATAACAATATTATTAATTTAAACAGTTATTTTAAAATAACTTTTATTGGAGTTAGCAAAAAATTAATTTACAATTTTAAGAGTCATTAAAAGTAAGCGATAATTAAAGAATCTTTAGTTGACCTCTAATTGTTGCTAATTGTATTTTTTGTAAACAGGTTCTGATTATTTAATTTCAATAGTTTTTTTAATTTTTTTTAACAACAAAGTTTTTGTAATTTTTGCAACATTTTACGTTATTTTAGTTTCTAAAATTTGAATTATAATAATTAAAATTAAATTACTAAACTTAATTAAAAATAATTTATCTTTTTTTTTAATTTAATATATTTGTTGTTAAGATGAAGACTTTTATTCTGTGTTAAAAGAATAATCTACAAACTTTTATTTTTTTAATTGAAATTTTTCAAATGAAATTTTTCAAATAAAATATTTTTCTACTGAATAACCCCTTTTGACAAAGACAAGCTCTCTATATAATTACTTACCTTATAACTTTGAGAAGATTTGTCAATCATTTGAACAATCTAGAATTAATTATAATTTAATTCAAATTAATGCAAAATTAAAATTAAACATATAAAAACTTCTATATTCTTAATTATATTTATAAACATACTTATTCAACATATCTTAACATACCATCTGAAATTCTTCAAGAGTAATTTCTTTATCATCATTCACATCAATCATTTTCAGAGCTATTTTCAAACCAGCATATGATTCTTAGAATAAAACAATGAAAGTTAAATGTACAAATCTAAAAACTATGTATTCTACACTTACAACATAATTATTTTCAATCAATGTTTCCATTATCTTTCTATGAGCAAAAAAAAGTTTTATAAATTAGTACACTAACTTTAGTTAGTTTTACCAACCGACATGACTTGTTGGTTGGTAAAACTGGAATGGGAGCATGTTGAAGTTAATAACAAACTTAGGGAAGATAAAGTATTTGAGTTTATTTTATCTTAAGGTTTGAAAGTTAGGAGGAGAAAGCACTCTTAACTTTTTTAATCTCTATTTGACAATTGCTATCCTTGAATCAACTGTAAATGAAACTAATTACAAGTGCAAATAACTTTTTGAAAGATATTTTGAATATAGCAACAAACTTATATGCAAAGAATTGGAATCCTGCATCGATTGTTAAATAAAAAACCTTTTTACAACAAGTGATGTTAATGAGTATTGTTTAAAAGTCATATTTTAAAATGTATTACTCAAAAATGCTAAATGTTAAATGTTAAATGTTAATGGATACCAATACTCTCCAATACTATGAATCAAGACCATTTTATATTATTCTTAAGTTCCTAGATTTTAACAAAAACAATGACCCTAATAATTCTGGTTAAGACATGATCTTTCCAGAAAAGTGTACAGTCTGGAACAAAATTCAAGTGTCAACAAGCTTCTTGTGTTATATAAAGAGAAAATTTCTAGGGTACTGTGGCTGTGGGATGTATGAAAACAACACTCTGGAGGGAATGCTATGAATAATTTATTTCATGCACATTTAACTCATAACAGTTTCAATATATGATGTCACATATCGAAGTTTTTTTTATTTTGCCACAATCAGCAATTCATATTTATTTGTATATTTTTTTTATTAAATCCATAAAATTTTTGTGATACAATTAAAAATAAAACAATATATTTGGTTTTGAGATTTCAGTAGTGTAACTTGTTTTTAACAATTGTAAGTATAAATCTTTATTTAGATTTTTATTTTAAAAAGTTAGCTTACTTTCACATCTTAACAAAATATATATTACTTGTCTATGTAAGAATATATATAAAATCTTTTTAGTAAAATTTGTATTATTTTATCTACTTAAAGTTTCGAACCTGTTACCTAGACAGCCATGACTATAAATTCGAACCTGTTACCTAGACAGCCATGACTCAAAATTAGAGCAATATAACATCCAGAGCAATGGATGCTATATTGCTCTAATTTTGAGGCGCGTCCAGGTAGGTATTTTGAAGTTAATATGTAGGGTGACCATTGTCCTGGTTTTTACATAGGAGAGCACATTAAATAGCTAAACTATTTATAATTAAATAATTAATTAATAGCTAAACTATTTATAATTAAATAAGTGCTGCGCTCTCCAATGTAAAAAACGGGACAATGGTCACCCTATATATAGGTTATATTCTGGTCAGGTCAGGTTTATCCTGCTAGTGGTAACATGTAACCCAGTACAATCTGCTTCATGTCCTGCTGCCTTGTAGGATATGCCTTTTTAGGCAAAGGCTAGGAGATGCAAACTCCAACATAAAACACCCCCTGCCTTGGGGCTCTTGGTTGAGTAAAGGCTAGAGATGGTGTCTTGATAAAAATACTCATCTTGGGCAGATGTTAAATGCATCTGGCTGCTGTCTTGTAGAAGGCCTCCTAGGCAAAAACTTAAGGGGTAAACAGATTCTATCTGTTGACCAGCCTCGCACCCCTTCTTCATCTATTAGGCTGGCGCAGATAAATTTTTAATACAATGTTTCCAGTTTAGGATGTTGAATGCTGGATCTTTTTTACTCGATGCATGAGTTTTGCTTGTGTCTCTGTTTTTATGACGAGGCAACTCATTCTATTATCTCCAAATGAGGGTACAGCTCTAAAACTCAGTTTTATGGTTCCGAGGCCTGCTGGTAGTCAGGTTTCCCAAAATCTGTGGTAGCTCTCAAAGAGGCTGGTTCCATCAACAGCTGAAAAAGATCAGAGTACTAACAGTGTCATGTTGCGCATGAATGGTGTCCTTGATTGTACTTTTGGTGTGCATTGCCAAGGCCACATTGGAGCCCTTTGTTACAGCTTAGGGTTTATTAGTGGAAATGAGGCAATTGCTTGGGCTATAAAACAGTGTACTGAGTACTATCTATGTTTCGAGTCAAGTTCTTTAACAAATTTAAAAATGAATAAAGTAACAAAAACTATAAAACACAAAAAACCACAGTCATCACCAAGTTCACTAAACCTATCATTCACCAATATGTGTGGTCTTTGAAGTAACTTTCCTTCTGTTGAGTCTTAACTCTTGCAAAGTTCACCAGACCTATTTGCTCTTTGTGAGACTAATTTGAGTTCTTCTGTCTCATCTTGTGATCTTAGTGCTGATGGTTATCTTCCTTTAATTCGTAAAGACTCCAATAATCACATGCTTGGCCTGGGCATTTACATTCGTTAGAATTCACTCATTTGTCAGGAAACTAGGTTTGAACCCACAGACTACTATTTTATGTGCTTTCGTTTAGCACCACTTCACTCCATCACCTTTCTCTTTGTTCTATATCGCTCTCCTTCATCTCAAGACTGCACTCTTCTTGATGTTATTTCTGATTATATTGACCAAGCCCTCATTCTTTATCCATCAGCCAATATTGTTGTTGTCGGTGACTTTAATGTTCATCACACTGAATGGCTTGGCTCTAGTGTTAGTGACTCTGCAGGCATTAAGGCCCACAACTTTTGCCTTTTTTAATCCCTAACTCAAATAGTCAACTTTCCAACTCGCTTTCCAGACAACCCAAATCATTTACCTTCTCTACTCAACTTATGTCTTGTTTCTGATCCTACTCAGTGCTCAGTTTTTCCACACTCACCCTTAGGTGCTTCTGATCATGGTTTGGTCTCTCTAAAACTATTATCTCATTCTTCTTTACTATCAGAATCCCCCTATCATCGTACCACATACAACTACCTTAAAGCTGACTGGGACTCTTTCCGTGATTTTCTTCGTGATGGCCCCTGGGTAGAAATCTTTCAACTTCCTGTTGACAAATGTGCTTCTTAAATAACTTCGTGGATTCAGGCTGGCATGGAATCCTTTATTCCATCTTGACGATTCCAGGTCAAGCCTCACTCTTCTCCATAGTTTTCCTCACCTTGTGCTGCTGCAATTGCCAATCGAAACCATTACTTCCACATCTAACAGCAAAACAATTCTCCAGAAAACAGACGTCTGTTTAATACTGCTAGGAACTATTGTAAAAAGGTTTTGTCTAACGCCAAAACCCGCTATTCTCAGATCGTGAAATCTCGTATTTCATCACAAAAATTAGGCTCTCATGACTTCTAGAGAATCTTATGACTTCTAGAGAATAATAAGGGCAAGTCTGTAATTCCACCTCTTTTGTATGGTTCAGACTTTGTCACCTCACCTAAAGACAAAGCTGAATTGTTTGCCAAGACCTTTTCATCAATATCATCTCTTGATTCCACTAGTTGCATTCTACCTGATATAGCTGTCAAACAGGTTGATCCATTGCTCGACATCCGTATCACTCCAGCTTCTGTATCTAAAGTGATTTCCTCTTTAGACTCTTCTACAGCTTGTGGCCCGGACAACATACCCGTTATAGTCTTGCAGAAGTGTTCTCCGGAGCTGTCGTCTGTCTTTTCAAAACTATTTAACAAGTGCTTATCAGAGTCTTGTTATTTTTAAAAATAGGGATAACAGATGCTGCTTTCCAGCCAGCTGGAAAGCAGCATCTGTTATCCCTATTTTTAAAAATTCTGGAGAGCGATCCGATTCATCTAACTACCGTCACATTAGTCTTCTTCCTATCATAAGCAAGGTTTTTAAATCTTTAATTAACAAACACTTAATGTCTCATCTCGAATCTCATAACCTACTTTCTGATCATCAATATGGATTACGATCTTCTCGTTCTACGGCTGATTTGATGTCAGTAATAACCGATAGGTTTTATCGCGCATTAGATAAAGATGGAGAGGTTAAGGCCATTGCTCTTGACATTTCTAAAGCGTTTGATAAAGTTTGGCATGCTGGTCTTCTCCATAAGCTTTCTTCTTATGGTGTAGCTGGAAACATCATTAAGATTATTGAATCCTTCCTTTCCAATCGTAGTATAAAAGTTGTCCTTGATGGACATCACTCTTCTTCTTATTCTGTAACCTCAGGGGTTCCTCAAGGTTCAATCCTTGGTCCTATACTCTTTTTAATTTACATTAACAATCTTCTAGATATTCTCACATCTAAGGTGGCATTGTTCGCTGATGATACTACCATTTATTCTTGTCACGATAAGAAGCCAACTCCATCTGATTGCTTGCAGGGGGCATCTGAGCTTGAAAAGGATCTCACTTCTGCTACAGCATGGGGCTCACAGTAGCAGGTGAACTTTAATTCAGATAAAACTCAATTTTTTTCAGCCAATCGTTATTGCAATAATTTAGACCTTCCTATATTTATGAACGGTAATGTACTCAATAAGTCTCCTACCCTTCATCTTCTAGGATTAATTCTTACTTCTGATCTTTCTAGGAAACCTTATATCTAATCCGTTGCAAAATTAGCATCTGCTAAAGTTGCTTCTCTTTATCGAGCTCATCACTTTCTTACTCTGGATTCTATTCTCTATCTCTATAAATCTCAAACCCGGCCTTGTATGGAATACTGTTGCCATATCTGGGGCGGATCTTCTGATGATGCCCTTTCTCTTTTAGACAAGGTGCAAAAATGCATTGTAAACATAGTTGGACCTGCTCTTGCAGCCAACCTTCAACCTGTCACATCGTCGTAATGTTGCTTCTCTTTCTCTTTTCTATAAATACTACAATGGGCACTGCTCAAAAGAGCTAGCGTTTCTTGTGCCATCTACTAAAATTCATTCTCGTGTTACTCGTCATTCAATTAAGTCTCATCCATTTTCTGTTACTGTTCCTAAGTGCTCCAAAAACTCTTATTCGTCTAGTTTTTTTCCTCGAACATCAGTTCTTTGGAATTCGCTTCCTTCATCTGGCTTTCCTGATTCATATAATTTACAATCTTTTAAGTCGTCTGTCAATCGTTATCTTGCTCTACAATCTTCATCTTTTCTCTTCCAGTAACTTCCAACACTAATTAGTGGTTGCTTGCAACCTTGTTGGAAGTGAAGATGTTTAAAAATATATATATATATTTTATAAATAATCTTTTATAACAGATATATAAATTTCAAAATAATTCTGAAAATTGATGAACCAAATATATTATTTAATTTTTAATTGTATTACAAATATTTTTTTAGAACTTTGTGAAAAATTATACAAATGATTTTGTATAATTTTTCACAAAAAAAAATACTTCGATATCTTAAAAATAATACACAATGTCATATACTAAAACAGTAATGAATTAAACGTGCATAAAATAAATTATGGAGTCTGTAGATTGAGGCATATATTATAAAGACTCTGAGAACCAAGAAAAAATAGAGAAGGCAAGCTTCAAACAAAATGACATTTTTATTTTTATTGATATGCATTTATTATTTAGTTTTATTCAAAAAAATTTAGCCTTAAATGTTTTTTTCAAACATTTTCTTTAATATGAATGCAACTTGTGCACTTTGGGACCCTTTTCAGATATAAAACTATTCTTTATTTATTCTGGAAAAGATTATTTTTTATAAGAGAAAATAATTTTAAATATGCAGAACCGCTAAAAAAATTACTTATTTACAACTTAGAATGTTATTTATATAGAAGCTTTTAACTATAATTTTTTTAAAGTCCAGCGACTGTTACTAACACATTTTATTATCTTTTACATAATTTATTACAGAGAGAAAAATAAACATGTTTTAGAGAAATCATTTAATGATTAAAAATCATAACTTACTATATAATAAAAACTATTTTCACCCAATTTTTTTCCTTACAAAAAAAAAAACTAGGGTTTAAGAAAATAGTGTGACAAAGTGACAAAACATAGAAATAGAAGTTGGGAAAGTTCAAACCTTTTATTTAGATAGAACTTTGAAAGTAAAATAAACATTTTGAACTTTGAAAGTAAAATAAGCTTTTACTTACTTGTTAAAATTGTGACAAGAAAGATATACTCTGAATATGTTATAATTCCTATGAAAAAAAGATAAACTCTGAATATTATAATTCCTAGGAGAAAAATCTTCATAAAGATTTGGAATAATTTTTTTCATATTTTACATTGATTGATTTACTGAAATTATTTAAATGATTACACCAAATTAAAAATAAAGTATAAAAAACCTTTCTGATCTAAATCTCTAAAAAAATTAGAAGAGCCTTTTGAAATGCCTGGTGTAAACTTAACCATTTCTTTGATATCCTAAATCAAAACACTATTATTTAAAATTTAAGATTATTTTAATTAAAAAAAAAAATTTATAACATGGAAAAAAAACAATTCTGAGACAAGATAATAAATCAGTGAAATAAAAAGAAAATAAAAAAATTTTAAATATTTTTTATTTTTTATTTTGTAGTTTTTAATTATAAAACTACAAGTAGCTTATATATTTGATTGACATTTATTTATCACTCAAAAACAACATTCCAAAAATTACTTTCATATTATAAAATTGGACATGAGGAAAGATGAACCGGTTGATATTTAAGACTCATAGTGATGGATACATTATATAAAATCTATGTATAAGTGAGAAAAGAATGAACTGGTTGATGTTTAAAATTCATAATGATGGATTTATACCTTTTCTGTCAAGCGAATTTTTGAACTTCTTGAAGCTAAAAAATAGTAACATAAAAAAATTAAATTTAAAGTTAAAAATTAAATTTGATCAATTTTGTATCAATAGTTTACAAGAGCATCAAACTTTTGTTGAGATGAAGTCTGGAAGTACAAACATTTATATGTTGATGCTCATGTAAAATAGAGATATTTTGCAAAAATTGCAATGATCAAAGCCTGAGAACAAAAAGTTGTTGCTCTTAACAACAAGTGTTAAGAGCAACAAATTTAAAAAAAATTGTTATCCTAATCTAAATATTTATCCAAAAAAAAAAAATTATTACCCTAAACTAAATATTTATCAAAAGATTTCAGGTTTTTTTGACTAATCTCTTAGTACTCAAAAATTATGATTATGTAAAACTTGTTAAATCCTCAAACCAAGGGGGTTAAAATTTTATATATTCAAAAGTTTTTTTTGACCATGTAAAACTCTGAGAGATTATTGTATAAAATTTGAAGTTTATCAATGAATTTAGTTGAGAATAATAAAAAAAAGTTATTTAAAAGTTGTTTAAAAAGTTGTTTAACAAATAGGGTCAGATCTCAAATTAAGTGTCAAATGACATTTTCGAATCATGACTGGAGTTTGCAACTTTAAGATTGGTTTTTACTTAAAAAAAAAATTCCTTTTTTTTTTTGTGTGTGACTTTTTTTTATTTCTAATTTAGTTTTTTTATTATATTTTCATTTTATTTATAAATTTTAAAAACACTTGTGAAGAATTTGAAACAATTCGCAAGGAGAATTTTAGAAGACTTTCTTTTTTCAAATTTTTAAAGTTGGTTTACAATTATAATAAATTTAATTGAATAAAAACTGCAGTATGCCTGTAACATCAGATATCAGAACTGAAAATAAATAAAAAGAAATAAAAATAAAAGATTTCATAAAAGTTTTTCTGAAAATCAAACATAAATCTAGCGACAGTAACAATATCATATTAAAAAAAAAAAATTAATAGTTAGGTATTATTTAAACTTTGAAATCATTTGTTTTGTAAAAATAGTTTAAAAAGTAGAAACATTCATTAAACAAGTGAAAATAAAAACATAAACAATCATGTTGAATTTTTTTTCTCTCCAAAAAATCTGATATTTAAGTATATTTAAGTGTACTTATGAAAAAAATAATTTTACTTAAACTTTTTAATAGTACACTAAATCAACAAGCAATAAATCTAGAAATTATGTGGTATCTAATAAGTTTAGTATTTTTTTGAGTTAACTCATTTTTTTTATTTGTTTTTACTCTTGTTTTGGTCTATAGATTAGACAAGCATTTGAAAAAATATTAAATTTAATGTTTTTATGACAATGTTTTCATCAATTCTAATGTAAATAGTTTTTATAACTGTATACACTAATATAATAAATAATTTATTTATAAAAATCCAAGACATAACTGGGTAAAATAAGTGAAAAAGCATAAATATATAAAATAGTGTCTACACATCAATCCGAGATGAGCTTATAATTTTGTAGAGCCAAGTATAAAGTTTAAATTAAGGACTTTCTAAAATAATTGTAAAATGTGAGTGAGAAAAAATAGCAATAAATATAGAGATAAAAAAAACTATAAATAAAATTAAATTGCAAATAAAATCACTGTCAAGTTAATTCTATAACATTAATTTACAGCAACATATCTTATTACTATCATTTATATTTAACCATTCAGCCTACCATCATCTTTCATACTAACTATATTGTATAACAGTTTTAAATTAAAATTAAAAAAAAAAGTAAAAATACTTTTTGGTCTGTTCTCGATTAGAGATTCAACAAAATCAAAAGGAGTCATAACTACATGGCCTTGGTATTCACATGAAGCAAACTCATTGAACCGACTTTCTCTGCGAGTCATTGCACTAACAACATTATCATCATTAGCTATTGATTCTGCTTGTACAGTGTTTAACCTACGGAAAGTTATAAGTAATCCAGAAAAAGCAGCTGTACCAATAATGACACATTGGTAAAGATATTTTGAATGCCTAAAAAAGTTTCATAATAGTACATTAAAAGTTAATAAAATTAAAAAATTACTTCTACAAAAACTTATGTAAAAACATACATATTTTGACAATCGCATTTAATATATGGATACTATATGTCCATACCCTAACTAGTCAGCTGATGTGTATATACTAGGGGTGTTCAGGAAAAAAAAAATTTGAATCAAAAAAACCAAGCCCCCTCTAGATTTGAAGCAAATATGTTTAAACTAACTCCCCAAAAATTGAAGCATCATTGAATCAATTCTTTCCTTTACTTTAAAGGACCTATTTGCAAAAAAAGTACCTTCGAGTGATCAAAATTGACTTAATTTAAGGGTCTTGAGGGCAAGGCAAAATAAATATTTCTAATAATTTTTTATTTAAAGCATAAATGAATATCTGAATTTTTGATTAAAAATATGAGTTTTTTTTTTCCCTTAAAAAAAAGTATAATTAACATTTTAAATTGGCTAAGATTCATAGTTAAGATAAAAAAATAATAATAATTAATTAAAAGGTCTGTTTAATCTATACACAGCTGCATTCCTGCTGTCACAAGGGCCAACAATGCCGTTTTTTGGCATTAGAAATAGCTAACTTCCAGACATTGTGCAAACTCCAAACATTTTTATGTTTATACTCATGTGAAATACAGATGCTTTGCAAAAAAATTCCGATGATTGGATCCTGGGAACAAAAAAGTCCCAAAAATTGTGCCCCCCCTGCCCCAAACATGAGAGCAACCAGTTGATAAAATTTTTTTTTGTACTATTTTTAACTAGACTTATATTCAAGGAGAAATTTTTAAATTCATAGTAAAATATTTTAGTGTTCAAAAGATATGACCATATAAAGTTTGCAACCCCCTCAAATTGAGGGGGGTTTAAACTTTACATGGTCATAATTTTTGAACACTAAAATATTTTACTATGAAATTTAAAATTTCTCGATGAATATTAGTCTAGTTAAAAATAGTACAAAAAATATTTTATCAACTGGTTGCTTTCACATTTGGGGCAGGGGGCACAAGTTATGGGGCTTTTTTGTTCCCAGGCTCCAATCATCGCAATTTTTTTACAAATCATCTTTATTTGGGGTATTTTGAGGTATTTGAGGTATGAGGCATCTTTATTAGGTATAAACATATAAATGTTTGGAGTTTGCACAATGTCTGGAAATTAGCTATTTCTAACGCCAAAAATGACACCGTCGGCCCTGGGCACAGGTAACTAACTGATTTATAGGGCTAAGTCTGTAGTTAAACAATAAAGTATCTAGATTAGGCAAGTCTAGTACCATAAACATATTTGTAGCGCTTGAGTACCATAAACATATAAGTCTAGTACCATAAACATATTTGAGCGCTATTTTAGTACATTTTTTGTAACAAGAGTCTAGATTTAACATAGAATTTGCACTAAAATTAGTCCATAGAACCACATCATAAAAACAGAGGCAATAGGTCTTAGATAGCTGCACTTTTACCTTGATCAAACTGTTCTTGAAATGTCTAATTAATACGTTAGTACATGTATAAAGACATTTAATCTCTTCATTTAGATCAGCATTATCAAACAAACAATTTTCTATTATGTGACCCAGATACTTGAATTTGTCAATGAAAACTAATTCACATCCGTTAAGGTATGCAGCGGAAAATTACTTGATACAATCTTACATCTCTGTTTTAGGTTAAATACCATACACACAGTGTCTTTTTTTGTATCAAATGACATTTTGATGTTAGTGGCTTAAACATTTAATCCATTTAATAATTTTTGCAATGCAAACCAAGACGGAGCAATTAATACATTATCTTTGACATTTGTCAAAATGTCAACAATAATGTACTAACTGCTCCGTCTAAATAAAAATTTGATTACACCTATGTTACATCCAATATGCATATTCGTAATATTGAAAATCAGTTTTCTTATATAAAATATGAACAAGAAAGGTGAAAGAATTCCACCTTGCCATACTTAATTGCTTATGGTAAAGCTATCAGAGTTTATTTCCTGCCATCAGACAAACATATTTTAATTCTTGTACCAAGATGTAAGACAGAAAACATTCTAAGCAATTTCTTGATCAATTAAATTAGAAAACAGTCTCCAATAATTAACGCTATCAAAAGCTTTGTTGAAATCTATAAAGCATGTGAATACATGGCTTCCTCTAGAAATATAGTATTAAACTGTCTTTTTTAAATAATATGTACAAGACATTGTGGAATGATTTTTCTTGAAACCCAAGTAAAAATCATCAGCATTCTCATGAGATTCAATATTTTTACAAAAAAATACCTCAAAGTATTTTAGAACAAGCAGGAGAGATTGCAATTGCTCTGTGATTATTTACATCTGTTAAGTCTCTAATTTTAGATTTTATTGAGGTATTCACAATATGTTGATGTGGCTTCACAAAATGTTGAAGGCAAATGTCCGCACAACCAGCATAAATTAAAAAATGTACTCAGAGAGACAGTCTATGCCCTTTATATATATATATATATATATATATATATATATATATATATATATATATATATATATATATATATATATATATATATATATATATATATATCTATATATATATATATCTATATAATATATATATATATATATATATATATATATATATATATATATATATATATATATAGATAGATATATATATATATATATTTATATATACATATATATATATTTATATATATATATATATATATATATATATATATATATATATATATATATATATTTATATATATATATTTATATATATTTATATATATTTATATATATATTTATATATATATACATATGTATATATATATATATATATATATATATATATATATATTTATATATATATATAAATATATATATATATATATATATATATTAAAAATAAAATATATATATATTTCATACACACTGTTCCAAAACTTTAAAGGATCGCCGTTATTGATTTTCTCTGCACATCTGTCAGCTTTAATTTGCTTAGTATGATTTTTACAGTACCTAAAAGCAAGTTTAAATACTGCCCAAGCTTTTTTCATTCTTTCGAAAATAATTCCATGTTTAGGTTTTCTATCAATTACCCATTGATTGAATGCATCCCTGGCTAATTCATGTTTATCTGCAACATAGTCATTCCATCCGGTAACATTAAATTCCGAATTAACTTTTAAATCCCTATGAGCTATCACGTCAGCCACAGCAGATTGCATACATTTTATAATGTTATTGTAAAAAAGATCAATTTTATAAGCAATACATTCATGAAATACAAAACAATTAAATATACTAAGATGCACTTTTACTCTTTGAAGTAAATAATTCACCCTAAATAATTCACACATATTGAGTTAAAATGGAATAGTCATAAGCTTGCCAATCTGACTTACTAGGCAACATTTTGAAAGAAGAATTACTATCTATTTAGCAGCTTTGCGATTTACTTGCTAGTTACTTATATAACCTTTATAAAAATGAAATTCAAACATTTTTGCTTAGATTATGGTTAGGTTTAAAATTAGATTAAATATACTTATTTAATGCATATTTAATATTTATACAGAATAAAAGAATATCTATTTATTGTTAATATTTATTATTAACTAGGTGTGGTGTTTTTTAATCCAGTTTAAAATCTAAAAAATTATAAAAATTGGATACCACTTCCAGAAAAAGCAGACTGGATATCTGATCTGTTTTTTTCTATAAATTCAGATTTGGATTTGAATCAAGAATTATTAAAAAAAACGGATATCCAAATCTAATGCTATTTCTTATACCTACAGTAAAAAAAAAAGAATTTTATAAGAATATTTATTATATATTGTTAATTCAGAATGTGCAGACATGGTACAGTATTTATAGTTCTGGCTTCTAACCAAGAGGTCCGAGGTTCAGCATGGGCTCTAGCCCAAGCAGCATTTGGTAGAGAATATCAGCATAAAATGAGTTTATACTTTTTAAAAAAATTAATTTCATTAAAACTGTAGATTTTTTGAATATTTTATTTTATTACTTTTATTCTTTCAATAACTGCTTTTATTTAATTTTATGAAGTGCATACTTTTCAAAATTAAATAATTTTCTGGTAAAAAAAAAAAAAAGTAATGTACCATGATCTCTCTGAAATGCTAAAACAAAAAAAATTTTTTTTTTACACCCAGGTGGCTAGATGTATTGATGTTTTTGTTGTTTATTTATTTTGGATTTGGATAAATCTGTTTTCTGATCCAATTTAAAGAGATATCGGAAAATCAGATATTATATAATATTAGATTGGATATAAAATAGAATTTTAACTATCTGAAAATCTGGTATTTGATTCAGATTTTAACAAAGCGGACCAGATATTCAGTTTTTTATCTCCCCTATTATTAATAATAAAAGATATTCTTTTATTTATTATTAGAATGTTTTATTATTTTATTAAACGCTAAAAATATTGAATTCAAAGTTGTTTATTTAGATTAAATTATTAGTGATAAAATGCAATAAATTGCATTTTATTATATTATGATAAAAAATAGACGAGGGCTTCAGAACATCAACCAATAAGTTAGAGTGTAGCCAACAATATATTCATATGAGATCTAATACTGCAAAAAAAAAAAATTATATATCTATATAGTATGTTTTTCAGAAATTTTTCAATACTGTTATTTTTGTCAAGTTATTCTGTGACTGAAATGCTATATATATATAATATATATATATATATATATATATATATATATATATATATATATATATATATATATATATACAGTACCTTTCCGTCCTAGAAAAAAAAAAAAAAAAAGGTCCTCAATTTTTAATTTGGGCGGCACCCTGTCGAAAATGGTCTAGAATAGCCCCTCATATATATATATATATATATATATATATATATATATATATATATATATATATATATATATATATATATATATATATATAAATTAAAATATGAAATAACAAAGTTTTTTTTTTATAATATTTATTTTAAAAACCTAAACATGCTTTTAACTGAGAAATCTGTAAAACTTGTAGAGAATTCTAATATTAAACTACTATATATTTAAACTACTATATATATGTGTGTGTATATATATATATATATATATATATATATATATATATATATATACATATATATATATATATATATATATATATACATATATATATATATATATATATATATATATATATATATATATATATATATATATATATATATATATATATATATATATATATATATATACACACACACACACACACACATATATATAGTAGTTTAAAAAATATTAGAATTCTCTACAAGTTTTACAGATTTCTCAGTTAAAAGCATATATATATATATATATATATATATATATATATATATATATATATATATATATATATATATATATATATATATATATATATATATACACATATATATAGTAGTTTAAAAAATATTAGAATTCTCTACAAGTTTTACAGATTTCTTAGTTAAAAGCATGTTTAGGTTTTTAAAATAAATATTATAAAAAAAAAACTTTGTTATTTCATATTTTAATTTGGAAGGTACAAAGAAAAATAAGATTTTACTTAGTTATTCAATTTGTTCAATTTTACGGCATGTTTGCATGCTTATAACACTTATATACAAATATGCATGCAGTATGACTTGGCGGTTATTTTAACATAATCTATTGTTACTAGAAAAAGCTTCAATAATTATGAGAAAGACTGCTCATGTAAAGCAGCATAAAGACATTTTGTGCATTTTTAGTTGAACTTAAATAAATTATATATTCTGTGATATATAGTACAGGTACACCTTTACGAGAAACTGCTCTAGTTAAAGTTCCAGTTAAATCAATCTTAAATCCTAGTAAAACAATCTTTCTCATGGGAAAATTGTTAAGAAAGTAGGCTGCAGTCAGTAAACAGTATATAGTGTTTTAAGTAAGCCTAGAATTGACAAAAAATGCCCAGCTTCCCATTGAAAACTAGTCATTACAATATATATCGTAGTATTTGAATTAGTTTAGTGAGAAAAAAAAACAAACTCAGAGGCATATTAGAGTAAAATAATATTAAGGTTTTTAACATTTGTGTAAATTAAACTGTGTAAACTAAGTGTTGTTTAAAATGAATAACATTATTTTATTGCATTCATTTTATTGAGTAGTTGCTATTTGCTCATAAGTTTTTATATGTCATCTAGATTGAAAAAAAATTGAGTTCTTAATTGGTGGCTAAATTTTTCAACCAGAACTCTGTAATATGGTCAAGTCAGTGACATTTTATTATAAAAAAAAAATTCTTTCGTGACTTAGGGTACGTGACCCTGGACATTAAAGAAATGCACTCTTAATGTAGGATCATGTACCATTTTTAAGGGTACATGATCCTGGAATTGGTTTTATGACAGTTTGTTTTATATGTTTATAACTGGCAGGCATACAACTTATACTAAATTCCATTAGCATATATTTCCAATGTCTTGATTTTTTTTAACTTTATTGCCCATTAGTCAATGGACTTTATATATTACACTCAAGATAAATAAAGGGAATTTCAGAATTATTTTAAAGCATATTAAAAAAATATATATAAATATTTTAGACCATATATTAAAAAATTCACATTGCAATTAATTAGCAATTTTGAAACTGTTCAAATTACAAAATTGTGGGTGACTTTAATTTAAAACATTCTACATACTATTTCATAACAATCTTGACTTGGTTAAATAACAACCTTGACTATCCTTATATGCAGAAAAATATAAAGAAACAAGAAAATACTTTTTACAAGCAGAATTATAAATGCATCAAATAGTTTATGACAATGCTATTTTTTAATTCAGTATTTTGTTACTGAATCTATTAAAATTCCCTGATTTTTACTTAACTTTTGCAAAAATAAATATATTTCGTAACTTTTTCCTGGCTTTTTAACATATTTTAGAATTTCCATGACTTTTGTAGGTTTAATAGGTTGTTGGCCACTCTGATTAATGTACAATAGTAACTAATGAAATAATTTGTAATGTTAGCTTTAACTTATTTTTTGGAATAAACATAGAGAACCAATTATCAATTATAGTGTGATAAACATTCTTATTAAATATTTCAGTATTTGTAACAGTTTAATTGGCCGATAAGTAAATCTGTTATAAATTTATATATATACTTATACTTTTATAATTACATGTTTAAAATTATTATATGTTTTGCAAATACCGTTGAATAGGAACTTTCAGTAATGCCCCAGCATATTCATTTCTTTTGTTTAAATTGATTAACTTTCTATTAAGTAACGTACTACTTTTTAAAAACCATCCACTTTTTAAGTTACTCAATATATTCATTGATACACGATGGGTAGCCATTTTAATTTAAAGACAACAAATGATTATAGTACCTATTGGATAAACAAACTAATAATAAAAATAAAATAATAATATATAAATAAATCCGGATTGGATTCTGTTTGACCGAAGTTATATCCGGTATAAAGTCGCGTACTAAAAATATTCGTACTTAGCGAGTACATTATTACACGCGTTACCTTTATTTCTGCTGTGAGTTTGCACCTACTTACACATTTATGTTAGTTTGCCATTTTAACTCTTATACACACTTATGTTTGCAGTAATATTTGTTTTTTTATATCTTAACATTGGTAAAAATGATCGACACACTTGTGCAAATTTAGTTCATCGCCTAAGTTCGGTCACTCAAACTTTGGACATTCATATCTTAGACATAAATAAACATTTATTTATTTATTTTTTTCTAAATTCTACAGACAACTATATCGTTAATTTTTATTTTAAAAATAAATTAATAAAAGTAAAAAAAACTAGCATTCGATGTTTTATTTCAAATAAAAACTGCTACTTTGACCGAACTTTCAACACCATCTCATAAGTTTGGTTACTGTATACTTTCCAATTAACACGTTGCATTGTTACACATTTAACATCCAATAAAATATCACAGAATCAAAAATTTATCATCTCAATAACACATCTCAATAACATATGGAAGCATCACAAGCTTAACATAAAAAATCTTTTGTTTATGCGACACAATGATCGCAACAAGTGACCAACGGAGCCGTCCAGTTTCGTAGCCCTGAGAGATGTGATAATAAAAACAGTTAGAAGATGGTGTCATCGAATAAAAAATAAAAAATCATAAGAAAATACAAAATGAGTGATAAGACTTTTGTGAAGGTAAAGAACGAAGTAAATGCTCGGAGGGCAAGGAGAGAACAACTAACACTCTAATCACTCTGTATGTAGATCATATGTAACAAATAACAAATATTTGATATACTGATTTTGAAGACTGTTGATGTCTACAGGTGTGATGGTGTAGTGCATTAGTACGTACTGTTTGTCGTCTAGTATGGTCTCGTTATGTTTCCGTTCACTTTCAAATCGGGTGAATAGAAAGCTAAACACACTCACTTCTTGCGCTTATGGGCTTGCACATCAGAGCCAGACGTAAGACCTACAGAATGGATTTCAATTGATCGAATGCACACATTAGTCACCGTAGGCCACAAGCCATCACTCTTAACCAAAAGAGCTACTGCCCCGTGCTGGTGTGGAATGATTTGCTATGAAGTGAGATTTCAGATCCGAGCACATAGTCAGCGAGCGCTGATCCGACGTGCATTGTGGAGCTTCCGACTGAACGTGTGCGTGAGTGTCAGCGTAGTCATTAGGTTATTGAGCGCCGTAACCACATCCAGCGGGATAGCCTAATGTCCGTTTTGTCGTTGTGATGTACATTAGAAAAAGTCGGGGCTCACCAGCCACAAAGAATAAATTTTTTGCATATGCGACACAATGATCGCAAAAAGTGACCAACGGAGCCGTCCAGTTACGTAGACCTGGGAGATGTGAAAATAAAAACAGATTGAAGATGATGTCATTTAGGTAAAAAAACATAAATTAATGTAAAGATTATTTAGTAGGAGGAACAAAAGTTAGCAACTCAGGAAAAGAGGAATAAAAACTCACACTCTAGTCATCTTTTAGCAAATGATAAAACAATGATCTATGAGTAAACAAGTCAATCTTATTATTCTTAAACAAACAGTTACATGATAAAAAATTAAAATTTTTTAGCGCTTATCCTATTCATCACTTTCTATTTCCAACAATTCATTCGTAAAACAATTCTTTAGATATTAGAAAACTTGATTTATTTAAGGTAGATATATAATGATCGGATGTATATAAAAAAATATGCAGAACGTCTTCGTTTGTTGCTGATCTGGAATCTAGTGTGATGTAACCTATATTTCATGTAACCTTTATTTCGGGCTTCCTGAGCAAGCAAAACTGCATAATGCTCTATTATTTTAGCACCATGTATAAGTACTTTATGGACCGCAGATAGCATCTTGTACCAGTTTTATTTGCTTTCATATAATTGTGCGGTTATCAATGTATACTGGCCAAATTTTTCGGCGTTTATAGGAAATCCCAATGACATAGTTTGAAGAATTACATAAAATCTCTTGATTAATATTTTTTATCAATTTCGGTTATCCCTGCAGAACATTGGTAATTTTGGAAAAATTTTCTTGCCTTATTTCCGTCATTGCAATTAACGAAACTTTGACGTGGTTTACCAATGTGCAAACCGAACACTTTTCGGAAACGTATTTGATCATATTTTTCTTTGTCTTTTTTAAGTTGTTTGTTTTCTAGAGTTGTTGCAAACTAATTTTCAAATCTAATTTGTAAAAAATATGTTGTAGTGTTGGTAGTCCGTATTTAAACGCATTTTCATTTCCAACTCTTGTGATAACTTTTAAAAGATCATTCATTTGTGTGGAAGTTGTTCCACAAACAGTGCAGTTAGCACTGGATAATTTGTTTGTTAACACTTGAAAAACTTTCCAATCAATTTTTTTTATAAACAGTTCATGTTTAACTTTGATGACTATGTCGTCTATTGATACAAGAGTTGGAATCAATTGATTAATTTTGGCTTCAATTCAACCGCCGCAGATTTTTTGGTTGTTTCTTATGCAAATTCTAATAAAATTGTTCTGAAAAATCTAACAGATGAGTTAGTAGGGTTCTGCCATATAACAGCAGAAGTTTCTTTGTCTACTAGTTGCAGTGGTACAAGGGGCACTATAGATAAATTAACATATGATATTTATTTGTTTTTATTTGGTAGAGTTTGTTTATACTCACTTTGACCACCCATGTTTATACTCACATTTTCACCCATGGATTGTTTAAATGTTGAGATACTTTAAATTCACCATTTAACCAATTGGGATATAGGCTCTCAAATCTGTCTGGCTTTCTTTGAGCTTTGATCCATACTTATTTGGAACTTGATGCTAGATTTTTTTAAATACTCCCTATTAGAGTATTGACGTCAGTTTCTGATAATTGAAAGTTGTCCAACTAATATTTTTTTGAGGTCTGAAGCACTTTTCCCTCCTATTATTTATTCACAAAGATTGCGTCGAACACAAACGAACAAACTCATTTTAAAATAATATATGTTTTTTGTCTGTTAATTGTTATTGAAAATAAGTATCTGTATGCCAAAACAGATAAATAGAACTTCCGCAACATTATAGTTGTGGTTAACGGGATCCCCCAAACAAAAGTGCCACGCGAAGATTCTTTTAAATGTAATTTTAGTTCAATAATTTGTATGCTTATACCATAGAAATGGAAAAAAAGAAAGAATATCAAAGTATAATAATATTTCATAATAAAAAGATAAACCGGGGATTTTTTTATCGTCCCCGATTGACATTATAGCTAAATTACCACTGACGCAAATAACGCGCAAGTTTTTTTTTTAATTTTCATATTAATGAATAGGTAAGGTCTCCAATACAGTGATTAACTTGAAACCGGCAGCTTTCAGCAGCAAAGAAAACGTCAATTGAAATAAACAAAAACGAAATTTTCTTTACTTTACTAAAAAAATATTAAAAAAAAAAAAAAATTTTTTTTTTTGCAAAAACCGGACGTCGTACATGGTATCTAATAAAAACTTCCGAATAATTTTATGTTAAATTTCCTTAACAGTAGTTTAATTGGCATGAAAATATTTATGCCCAATGTTTGAGGTTCATTTTGTTAACGTAAAACTAAGTTATAAAATTTTTTTTTGTTATTTATTCGTAACTTCCATCCTTTGCAAGTATAAAACCGTAAAGAAGTTTATGGATTTACGACTTTTGTCAAAAATCAGTTTCTAGATGGAAAGATGTTTCTAGTTTCTAGTTTCTAGATGGAAAAAATCAGTTTCTAGATGGAAATTCAGTTTCTAGATGGAAAAAAATCAGTTTCTAGATGGAAGTTTCTATTTGGTCTCATAGCGATCAAACCGATCGGTTTTAGCCGAACTTTCAATTTGAACTGACACCAAAATTTCTGTTTCGGTACTTTTTATAAATTCGGTAAGAAACAAAATTTCAGTTGAAAAACATGCGGAAAACCAAAACTTTGTATGATTGTGATTTATTTAGAAGTGGTAAAATATTTTGTTGAAACTTTCAAAAATAGTTACTTTTGAAAGTTTCAACAAAATATTTTACCACTTCTAAATAAAATTTTAAGCCCATCATTCACAAATTACTTAACCTTTTAGTTAGTAAATTGCTTAAACATCTGTTTCTTAAAAATACCAAAACCGCAAATAATAAACGGTTGCAGTGAGCGTAATATTTTTAATCTTGCAGTGATATTGTTTTGTTTGAAGAGAACAAATTTGGCTTAAATTGTTTAAATTAAAAGTGAACAATGATTAAATTTTAGGGTTGTAAGCCTTTAGCAACAAAAGAAAAAAAGCAACAAATCTAAATAAGCAATAAATGTAAAATTTCACTTTTAGGTAACATTTTTTAATTTTGATTTAAAACTTAAAATTAATTTTGTTTAGCCAAAACTTTGGTTTTAGTTCCATAAAATGTATGCTGTAATGACGGTTTAAGTTTCGGTGTTGAACTAATATACCCAAAATTTCGGTTTATTTCGGTTTCGGCGTATTTCCTGTTTCGGTCAAACACAAGTGTAGAACATTTTTACAAATATTAAGATATCAAAAGACAACTTTTTTTCTGCAAAAATGCAAGGCTATAAGAGTCGTAATTGCAAACTAGAATAATTGTAAGCAAGTTCAAACTCACAGCAGAAACTTGGCAACGCTTAATACAAAAGAACGCTTAATACAAAAGCTTAATACAAAAGCTTAATACAAAAGAACGCTTAATACAAACGCTTAATACAAAACGCTTAATACAAAAGAAATAACTGGATTAAGTAGCGGTTGAACTTAAAACATTATTAGATTCTTACAGAGGCGGATTCAGATCATCTAGTAAGGAGGAAGTGGGCGATTTTCAGGCTTTCTTGATTCAGTGGATCCAGACCATTTACTAAGGAAGGAGAAAAACGGGCAATGTTAAGATTTTATTTATTTTGTACAGAGACGAATGAGAGTTTATAGTAGTAAAGAATGAAATCGTAAAAAGAAAATGATTAGCACAACTAGCATTTTGTACTTATGATTTCCAGGGGCAGTCATAGTAAATAATAATCCAAAAAGACGTTAAATAGTCGAATTAGTTAGAGCCAATCATCAAAAAAGAATTGCCAATCATTAATAAAGAAGTATCAACAATATCACGATAGTTATAACGAGTAATTAGTTTAGCTTTGTTTGGGTTAAAGTTCTAAAACCACTGCAAGTCTCAAGCAGAAAAGAGATAATGCTCATCACAGAAGAGAGACCATGCTCAAAACTAGCTAAATATAACCAATCAAGAAGGAACATAAAGAAATAGAGCCGTGCAGATGTAATTGTAATGAATTTGATTTCTTTTCTTAATTTATTGCTTAATGATTAATAAAGTAAATTTCAAATCATGAAAATACTAAATTGTTACCATAACTACTAAATTAAAACCATATTTCAACATAAGGTAAACTAAAACAAACTAGTAGAATAGTAATAAAAAGCAGAGTAAAATAACTGAAAAAAAAATTAAACTAATGTAAGTATTTTGAAGAATGCAAACTTACGTTGGCACTCTGTAATGTAAGTGCCACTCAGGGCCACCGAGAGAAATGAAAAAAGGGCATACGTGCCACGGGGCGCTAGACGAAAGACAATTATATATATATATATATATATATATATATATATATATATATATATATATATATATATATATATATATATATATATATGTATATATAATATACATATATATGTATATATATAATATATATATATATATGTATATATATATATATATATATATACATATATATATATATATATATATATATATATATATATATATATATATATATATATATATATATATATATATATATATATGTATACATATATATAATATAATGATATATATATATATATATATATATATATATATATATATATATATATATATATGTATATATATATATGTATATATAATATACATATATATGTATATATATAATATATATATATATGTATATATATATATATATATATATACATATATATATATATATATATATATATATATATATATATATATATATATATATATATGTATACATATATATAATATAATGATATATATATATATATATATATATATATATATATATATATATATATATATATATATATATATATATATATATATATATATATATATATATATATATATATATATATATATATATATATATATATAGAGAGAGATTTTAATTGCAAAAAATTATTAAAATAAATTTACTTAGTTAAGTGCATAGCAATTTACTTTGCTTTATTTATATTACCAAAGAATTATAGTTTTTAATAATTTATTTTGTTTTTTGGTTTGTGCAAACCAAAAAATAATTGTAAATTAAAAGTTTTTGCTTGTTCTTTATATTGACGACATTGAAGAAAATACTTAGCCTTATTCTAACAAAACATTCTACCGTTAAAGATTAACATATTTAGATTTAGTTCAGTTTATTTTATTCAGTAATTGATCAAAAAATTACAACAAAAATTTAAAGCCAAAAATAAAAATAAAATGACCGATAAAGAGGGGTAGCACTAAGTTTCTCTGTTCTGACAGTCTTGTGCTGCATACAAAGCAGCTACAGTTAAACAAAAAAAAGTTTTTAAAGCAGTTTACACTTTGGGCATCGATGGTCTTTTGCAGGAGAGCATTCCAGTGACGTACAATTAAATTTGTAAAAAACTGTTCTCTTTGAATACAATTTTATTTGGCAATACCCGGAGTATTGCCAAAATAATAGCTGATTATAATGCTTTACATCTTTTCGAATTATAATTTGCTAATGAACGCAATCGCTTTTGTCATATGCTTCTGTACTTTGTGTTTTAATCTCATGTTTTAGACACTGTGACCGCATATTCGCCAGACAACGGTACACCGACTGCGGAATGCTTTTTTTTTTGTCTACCAAGTAATTGATTGGCTGTTTCGGCTGCTGTCTCAACTTAATTTTTTAATTTTAAGTCGTCTGAGACCATTACGCCAAGGTCTCTTTTGTTCTTGGTAACTGCAAGTTGTATTCGAGATGGCTTATTTCAGAATTAGGTTATTTCAGATAAAAAGTAAAATACCTTTATTAATATTCAGAAAGAAAATTTAATTAAGATTTCGAATAGCAAAATTAAAAAAAGAACTAAATTAGTTGTCTTTGTTTGTTAAAGTTGAATGGCTCCCGAAGAAGTGTTAAAATTTCAGCCCAAATCAATTGTCACACCTACTTTCAAAACAAATGCAAGACTTATAACTACAAGCTTGTGTCTCCTAATCGTCATTGATAAAATTATTAAACACTGTGCCCAATTAATTAATAATTCCGAGTCACTCCAATGGAGTGAGGTGCTTCCACACGGGTTTTTCAGATTGTTCGAAGTTTGTTTAAAATCAAGTTATAAAATGTTGGTTTGTTTATGCTTTCTTATCAAACTCAACATATAAGTAAAAATTGACCTGTTTCAAACCCCAACTAATCAAAGGTTATCCAGAATATCAGGACTTATTTACAAACCATTTTGTTAATCGTTGGAATAAATTAATGCATAATGTAACTTACGCACCTGATTTCCCTCACTACCACGAAACTTTTTATGTTTAAGTTTTATTGATTATTGTAATAAATAAAAATTTTAGATATTTTGTTTTAGGCGGCAGTTCCGCCAGATAAAAGATATTGCTTTCGGACACCAGACGTTCAGCTCAAAAAATAATTGCAAAACGACCATTAGAAATTGCTGCTGCTCTAATGCCGTTGCCTTAGCTACAACCAAAGTACCGATTTATGACGTGCAAATTCTGTTAACAGTTTATATTAATTCCTACCTCAAAAATAACTGTTAAAACCTGCGTAAACATTTTAGGACGAGTGAATAAAAAACTCAGCAATTGGTCATTTTTACGGAAATAAAAACTTCAGCAATGAAGTTTTTATTTCCGTAAAAATGACCTTATGCAGTGGCGGAACTACCATACCGCAAAACGGTATGGTAGTTCCGCAAACGGTATGGGCCCACTACATCCTTGGCCCTCCCCCTGGGGGGGGGAGGAATCGGCTAGCAAATAGGTAGCTGTAATCATAACAATAAAGACAGCGATTTGGCTACGAGGATCGGCAGCTTTTTTAAGTTAGCGAAAAGCTATCGATATTTGTAAGGACAAAGACAGCAATTTGGCTACGAAGAAGCCAAATTGCTGTCGCAAAGTTTAAAGTTTAACTATTCTCATAATTATAATAGACTCAACACTAATAATCGAATTTTTAAAGATGTTTAAGACATTAGGAAAAAAAACAATAAGAAAAAAAAAATCGCTATAAAGCTATAGCTTTATAGCTTATTAGCTATAGCTAATCGCTCGCTAGACGCTAGCTCATTTCCCACCGGGCTAGCATTTATTATATTATTGTCGCACATGCTGTCAGAGATCGATATATATTTTTGGACCGCGCGTTCTTTAATAAGTTTAAATAAAATCTATTGTTATTTTCTTATTATTCTTAACTAAACTAAATAACTCATCGATAATTTTTTTTATATCATCACAACCTTTTGCAAAGCATCCTTAAATTTGAAGGTATCGCAACTTCGTTTATACTTTTCCTTAGCTTCAGCTAATAGAGCAATATTTTCTTTCTTTATATTTCGTACTTCTTCATATATTATGATTTTTTCAAAAATCAAAAAGGAAATCAAAAAAAAAAGTTCGCGTACACTGTAGTAAAAACATAGCTGTTCCGGAATAATAAATAATAAATCATAATTTTAATACTCTAGCTGATATTGTGTTTCAGCGGACGGGTTTGTTTGTTATTATGATTTAAATATAGTTAAATATTAATAAGGTGATATTTTAAGGGCATATAATTTGGGGATTTATATTTTTGTTTTTTTTTATGAAATCATATAATGTATTTTAATATAAAAAAAAATTATAAGGCAATGTCGACGAGTTAGTACCTAACTATTATTAATAGAATAAATGAATAAATTTTATTCTTATGGCTATGCTCGAAGTATCAGCAATATCTTAGGAGCAATGCCCTGGAAAAAAACAATTTACTGTAATCTAAGAAGTAATAGTATTACTTTTTAGATTATAGTAAACTGTTTTTTTCCAGGGCATTGCTCCCAGGATATTGCTGATACTTCAAGCATAGTCATAAAAATAAAATTTATTCAAGAATTTCATGTACCAGTTTTATACTACTACAGTTTTATACAGTTTTATACTTCAAGCATAGTCATAAAAATAAAATTTATTCAAGAATTTCATGTACCAGTTTTATACTACCAGTAATTTTTAGTTCGCAAACGGAGAATTTAAAACCAAGCAGTACTTTAATTCTCCGTTTGCAAGTTGTTATTTAATTTTTTGAGTTAGTGTTAAAGCCATTATTGAAAAACACTAACTCCAAAATATGCAAATATTTGTTAGAGGAAAATTATTTTAAAATTTTAAGGTCTGTACACTCCGGATTATAAATCTTAAAATCTTTACAATTGTGTTATGCAAATGAACTCAACCATTCCCATTTGCAATAGAGTAATAATTTTTTTTTTATTAAAAAAACTTTTTTTTTAAAAAAAAAATGAAAAATTGTATTATAAACATTGGGTATGCTTTTAAGTTTAAGCCTATTTTTTATTGTAAATGCCTTTAATACAGTTGCTACCATGTCTCATCTTAACTATGGTAGACATAAGTATCACAATAGAAAAGCTTTGTTAATAACGAGTTAATGTAAAAAATGCAAAAAGTTTTTGTTTGTAAAACCACTCAAATTATACAGTTAGCAAAGTAAAGGTTTGAATTTAACTATGTAATTGTTTTAATTTTTTTTTTTTTAGTTTAATCAGTAATATACTGAAATAAAGTGATGCCATTCCGTTTCAACAGCAAAGATTTAAGTGTTGCAGCAATACAAAACTCAAGTTTGTTTGTTAAAGAAGGTGTTTTGTTGTTCAAGGAAAAAGAGAGCAAGCGTTTTAACAAAGTTGAAAGTATGATTTTTCAATGCACATATGAAATTTACTCGAGAGATAAGAAAAGTCATATAATAAATAAAGAGTTATATAGTCTTTATTTATAGTATAATCTTTATTAATTATCTTAATCTGGATAACAATAAACAGGAAGAAATTATTATTATCCAGATTTTTAAACATAGAGCACATAAATAAATACAAAAAAATCTCTTTCAGTCATCGGAATAAGAGTCGGCATTTAGTAATGCTGACCTAATTGGTGACCTGACAGTGTTTAAGGCACCTTGCATGATTATGTATTTGTCAATTGTTGTAGCAGCACTACTCACATGTTTACCTATTTGTCAGTCAATGTACCAGCACTCCTCACATGTTTTACCTATTTGTCAGTCGGTTTAGCAACACTCTTCACATGTTCTACCTGTTTGTCAGTTGATGTAGCAGCAATCCTTATATGTTCTACCTATTAGCCAATGTTTGTGAACAGTAAAAAAAAAACATTCTGAATGTTTTTGAAATCATTCTAGTTAATTAATTTTTGTTTATGTGATAACTTTTTACAACCCCTGCCCCGGCTAAACAATAATTCTTCCAGGGTTTATTAGCCGGCCAAAGATATTTTATATATATATCTCATATTATGTGTTTTTTTTAATCATACATTATATATATATTTATATATATATATATATATATATATATATATATATATATATATATATATATATATATATATATATATATATACATAAATTTATTTATATATATTATATATATACATATATCAGGCTTGGTCGGGAAGCGGGTGCGATCGCACTCGATAATAAACCACGGAAATAATATTTAGTTGCGAAAAACCAGCCAGACTTTTTTAGTCGTTTTAAGAAAATTTCAAAAACAAACAAAAAAGCGCAAAAAGATTAACTGGACCGATGAGGGACACTTAATAAAAGAAAAATAGCTTTTAACACGAAAAAATTTTAGGCAAGTTAAATATGATTTGAGCAAATATTTTTAAAACGTCGCTATAATTTTTTTTATAAAACTAAGTCACATTTTTTATATAAAGTAACAACATACTATTAATGATTGTTTAATAAGGTAACAAATGTTCTCCGATTTATCAAAGAGTATATATAATTTTTATTTATATACTTATGTCTTATTTACAGTGTTGGATTAAGGAGATGGGGGTGGGGGGGGGGAGTAGAAGGACTATGGCCTCAGGATTCACAATGTTAGTGGCTGCGAAATAGTCAAGAGGACCATTCGATATTTTTTTCAGTCATTTTTACGCTGTGGCACATAAAAATGGCTGCCAAAATAATGCAGTTCCCAGCCCTGAAAAGTCCAACAAAATTCAACCAATAAAACTAACGCTAAGTGATTTATTTATTAATGAAAAAGTTTTTTCAATAACTGTTTTATTCTTCGCGTAGTTTAAAAAGTTTAATACATTTAAAACAATTTTTCTTAGTAAGATGAACAAATGAAATAATTAAATCATTGAGTTGCTGTAGAAATTCAATTAGCTAAATAGAAATTAACCAAAAACGTTAAATTACTACGTGAGGAGAAAGCGGAACTGCTTCATAATAACGCTGATGATGTTTAGTGAGTGGGCTTTATAATTTTAATTAGTATTTAAAACAGTAAAAAGTAACTTAAAGTTTAAGTATAACAAGTTTGTAAGAATGGCTGAAGCAAAAATAATTGAAGTTAGTAAACCAATTTCTAAGAACTTAAAAACTTTTCTTTCTTGGCGGAAAGAATCAGTTATCGGGTACACTGAGAAAAATGGGTTAGTGGTTAAAATTATTTGTATTAACTTTGATGATTATTAATTATTTATTATTAGAAATTTAGTTTGTATTTTTTGAACCAATAGAATTAGTTGTTTGTAGATTTGGCGGGTTTATTGTATTTTTTTTACTTTTCTGCACAAAGATTGTTTGAGAAAATTTGAGTTTATGTTTGTTTCCATGTATGTCCGTAAACAAAATATTTCAAAAGTTACGTTAAAATAATAAACTTAATTAAGAAAACATACATAAATTTAAATATTCTCAAAACAACTAAAATATCTGGCCGGTTTTTTGCAACTAAATATTATTTCCGTGGTCAGTTATCGAGTGCGATCGCACCCTCTTCCCGACCAAGCCTGATATATATATATATATATATATATATATATATATATATATATATATATATATATATATATATATATATATATATATATATATATATATATATATATATATATTTACAAGGGTCAAAATAAGTGTTGAACATCAGTACCTTTCAGATCATTTTTGAGACCTTTCTGAAAGGGGCAACCAACCATTGTTCATTTTTATTGAAAAAATTAATAATGATTTGTTGTCCTCTTCTAGAAGTTCTTTAAAATAATCTGAGAGATGATGTCCAATACCTATTTCGACCTTTGTATATATAGGGTTATTCCATATGAAATCATCCAGACCATTACACCCTTACGTCTCAGAATTTTTACACCACTTGCAGTCAATAATAAAAAAATTATAACTGCGAAAATTTTAGTCAAAAATACACATAGGTTCCAGAGATATCATCAGTTGAAATAATGCTGACTCAGCATTTTAGTGATTTTCTGTAGCTACTACAAAGCAACTTTGACATTAAGTATCTTCATAATGGCTTGGGGAAATTTCCTAAAATTTGGTACCCCAATAGGTTTTTACTTGAGGAAATTAAAAATAGCACACTCAAGACTCGATTGTCTCAAGAAATGCTTTGTTTTTCCAATTTTTGTTCAAAATTATTGACTTGTAAATTAATGATTTTTGAAGGTAAAATGAAGACTGTGGCTCGAAATTCAGAGTAAAAAGTTTAATTGTATATCATTATTTCATCTTAGTTCTACTGAAAGATAGATTCATCAATTGTCTCTCTAATTCTTGATCAAAGTTTGCATTTAAAAATGGTGTCTTTTTAGAAAAATTTAAATTTTGTAACAAAAGCAATTAAAATATTTTTAAAAACATTTATTTGTGTAAAACATCAAATAGTGTTATTTTTTGACTAGTTTAGGACATTTATAGTCATGGTTCAAGGAAGGTCCAGGGGGCCTTGATTGACCTACGCCACCTCCCCCCTCCCCCATATGCCAAGATTTTTTTATTTTATTTATTTTTACATAAAATGATCAAATAATAAAATAATTATTTATTTTTACATAAAATATTTTATTTATTTTTACATAAAATGAATAAATAATAAAATATCGATTTGAAATAACTAAAATAAAAATTTATTTTAGTTATTTCAAATCGATAAATACCTCTTATTTTCAAGACCTTTTCACTATTTAAAAAGTTGTTAATTTTAAAACAAAAAATATTCAAATGTTTGTTAACAATCAATATCTTTATGGTATTATTTAGTAGTTCAAAACTAATATAGTCATTGACATAAAAGGTGGAGATTGGGATTTATTTAAACCCCACCCCCACCTTCTCAGCCTACAATCCAAGGATTTTGAAAAAAAGAAAAAAGACAAATTTTAAATGCTAAATAGGTAAATAAAATAAAAACAAAATTATTTTAAATGTAATTAATTTTTTTTGCAACCAACAGCTTATATTCTCTAAATCTAAATCAGATATGTTGTACGTACGTCCTGATATTGTTGTGAGTGTAGAAATTAGGCATATAACTTTAGAATTGAGCACCCAACACTCATCATTTCTCATTGGCCAAAAGAAGTTTTTACCTGGTCCATGTGGATGCATGAATCTAACTTTTACATCTTCAGCAATCCCTTCCCACCAAAATCCATCATAAAAACATGCAGTATAATCTATTTTTTTAATGTTTAATAAAATCTCTACATTATGTTTGCTTTTTGGAATGATATCAAATATCTTTTTTCTAATTGTAATCGGTTTGGCCGGTTTCTTCTTTTGAAAATAATTTAAAACAAATTCGATTTATTTTGGCTTTACATAAGGAGTACATTAAATTAACATCTAAAATCTGCCCAGTAGTTATATTTTTCAGACTTTCTTGACCCACTACTCTTAACAGTCCCACTAAAACCATCACAAAGAGATTTACCATGACTGGTAGCAAAAAATACCCATTTAGCATTTAAATCATAGTCTTTACTGTGATGACAAAGATTGATAAAATTTTTAAAATTTTTAAATTGTGCTGCACAACCATCAGAAAAGTATTTCACACTTGATACATCAGATAGATTTTCTTTGATATATCTAGTTATATCTTCCTGAGTCTTGTAAATAAATCTTGTATCATGGTCAACATCTTCTGAAAGGTAACAAATAGATTTTTGTTTGAGAAGTTTATTCTCTATAAAATAAAGTACTATTGTATAAAGTGAACATTGACTTTTGCTCCAGTGATAACTTTGAACCTCATCCTGAACAACATATTGATAATTTTTAGCAAAATCTCCTAAAATTAGGCATTCATTTTGGTTGAGATTTTCTTCACAGTTTTTTAAGTATCTACTTTGTGTTTTTGCAGTATATGAATGAGTGGTAAGGTTGTCAATGTTTTCACATAATAAATCATTAAACTCATCTTGTGGCAATGATTGTAATAGTAGTGCTGTACGATAGGTACTCTGCCGTTGCTTGAATGCTACATCTTCTTCAAGCTCATGGTCCATAAACTCCTGCACTAAATTTTTTTTAATGCTTCAATACCAGGGCATCGGTTACATCGATGCAACATACATTCTGCATTTTCAAGAGAGCAAAAAATCAATGCCATAAAATCTTTATAACTTTTATTCCACCTAATGGCATCAATGAGAAATTTTGTAGTTTGGTGATGCATGCATACACATACATTGTGGGTACCTGACGCATTAGTTGTAATACACCATTTAGGTTTAAGAGTACAAAACTTTGACAAACTGACTTTGACGTTAGGGTAGTCTTTTTTAAATGCAACATGTAATTCATTTAGATTGAGTAGCAATAATGTTTTTTGAACATATTGGTTTT